TTAATATAGTATAGATATAGATAGATATAGATATAGATAGATAGATTTTTATTAACTTTTCGCTAAGGGCCTTCAGCTGATTTTATACTAACAATTTTCAAGATCAACTTTTCTCTTTTCCCAAAAAAGAAACAATAAAAAATATCGCTCTTGTCTCGATTGGTCAACTTTACTTGTATTGGAAGTACCTTTATTCTCTGATGCAAATCGGGAAACTTTGTAATCATGTGAATAAATGATTTGATTTGAATACTAACTAATACTACTCCTATTAAACAAGAGCCAAATGATTCTGTATATTTTTACTAATTCGATTAGAAATCCTCCACTTGTCTCCCATAAGCAAACGTTAGGAACTCTCTTGACGTGGACGAATGTATCTCACTATTTGCCTAATTTTATATTGTTAACCAATAAGATGCTTACACGATTTTTGGAATTATTTGCTTTTTGGCAACAAACTTTTCAGCTTTATCTTTTGTTAAATAATGAGATTACTATAAATATCAACCATAAAGTATTGTCTTTTTCTTTTTTATTGAAAACGAAAACAACTTAAGAACCCATTCAACAAATGTGAATTCAGGACTTTTTTATGCAATTAATTTTTAGAAGAAGGGAGATCTAGATTTGGCTCGAATAAGAATTATCTACAAGCAAGATGATAGTCTATCTCAAATTATTCTCTTTTACACGCCCTTTAAGCAGGGGCGGCCGTTTCATAAAGCAACTGCTTTTGGCCCCACATTTGTTGGGGCCCCATTTTTTATTACACCTAATAGGCTATGTATAAGTTTAAAAAAAATTGTGAAGTAAAAAAGTTTGAGTTCTTGAAGAAGGATATGAACTGTTATGATTTCTACCAAGGAAATTGCACTTGAAATGAATATCGAACCCGAATTTTGTAACAAACGTGTAATATATAGGAAGTGACAATTTGATGAGAATATTGATTATGAAATCTCAAAATCTTTCGAAGAGTCCTTTAGAGTTGATTACTTTTATACATAGTAGATAAGGCTATTTTTCCCTTCAAAATAGATTTGAACAATTCAAAGCATATGAAAATATTTTTAATTTTCTATTTAGCGGTAAAAACTAAGATCACTAGATGATGAAAATTTTAAAAAATATTGAATGTTTCTTAAAGCATTATAATCTACTCGATATTGGTGGTTTAGATTTATTTTCTGAATTAAAAGTACCAAGAAAAATAGTACAATTAGAAGATGGAGTAGCGGTTTAATTGATACACTCAATCAAATATAAACATTTTATTCTTTTTCAAATGTCTATATTGCTTATGGAATAATGCTAATAACTCTTATTACTGTTGCTTCAGCGGAAAGAAGTTGTCAAAATTAAAATTGATAAAATCTTACCTAACATCAACAGTGTCTCAAGAAAGATTAAATGAATTAGCTATATTATCAACTGAAAAGTATTTATTAGGAGTTATTGATTATAAAAAAATTATTAATTACTTTGTATCTAAGAAAGTTAAAAAAAATAGACTTTAAATAAATAAATAAAATTTAAAAAGTTAAGGCCCCTCATAAAATTTGACTTTAGGCCACAAAATTCGTCGGGCCGCCCCTGCCTTTAAGAAACATTAATTAGGAAAGGGATTAGATTATTTTAATTACTCTTATTTATGTCTTAAGATAAAAATCTCTCTTCATTGAATATTTATAGCCTGTTTGGCCAAGCTTTTTTTGGGCCAAAAGTGCTTTTTTTGGCCAAAAGCACTTTTGGCCAAGTTTTTGGAAGGAAAAAAAAATGCTTTTGAGGAGAAGCAGAAGCAGTTTTTGAGAAGCAGAAAAAAGTAGCTTCTCTCCAAAGCACTTTTCTGAGAAGCACTTTTGAGAAAAATACACTTAGAAGCAGTTTTCAAAAGCTTGGCAAACACTAATTGCTGCTCAAAAGTGCTTTTCAAATTAATTAGCCAAACACAAACTGCTTCTCACCAAAAATACTTTTTTTAAAAGTACTTTTGAGAAAAGCCCTTCTCAAAATAAGCTGATTTTAGAAGTTTGGCCGAACAAGATATTATTCTATTTATGTGTTATCTCCATCTTCAAAAACAATTATTACTAAGGGTAAAAAAGGAAAAAAATAATTAATTTTGCCTTGAACTTCTAAAATGACAAATAATTTGAGATAATTATTTCTAGTAACCATGAGTAATAATATGAGACGGAGAGAGTATTATTTACTACAAACACGGCTATTATATTTCTCTAACTTCAAGGATTAGCGTACTTTACTGTATTTCTTTCCTCTTTTGTTCACTACTGTTAGGCCAAAGCTTGCCTGAAAGGTCTCAATAGGTTTGGTAGCATTTAATAAGCTTTCAAACATGGTTAATTAAGTAATAGTTGGATTGAATTTGTTATTTTAAAGAGAGAATATTAAATGTGTAAAATCTTATCGATTATTTATGCAAGATATAGACGCGTGGCTCCATTTGCATACAAGCAATTGTACCCTCCTTAAGCCAATCCAAGTTTTTGTTAGATTAATGCATATTTTGATATATCTAGTAGCCAAGATATTTTCCTCACTTTTGGGTAGGTAAGATATTTTCAAGCAAACCTCCTCCCTTTTCCTCCCGCCAAAACAAGAAGCAAAAAGAAAAAAGAATAGAGTGAAGTAAATTAGTAAACCTCAAAAATAAAATCTAATTGAACAAAAAAAAATTCCTTCTATAAGGTTATCTTTTCCTTGAGTATGCGATGAACCAAGGTTAGCACAACATGTGAATTTTCGATATATTGCATTTTTTAAGATTCTTCTATATAGTTTGTCATGATCTTTTTGATATTTTGCATTTCTCTTAGAGCTTACCCGTGGCGGAGCCACATTCAACAAAGAGGTGTCCATTGACACACCTTCGTCGAAAAGTTACACTGTACTGCTAGATAAATTTTTCTGTTTTATGTATATTTACTATATGTTGACTCCCCTTAACTTTTCGATGTATCTAATATTTTATATTTTGACAACTTTTAATAAAATTTCTGACTCAGCCACCGGAGCTTACCACTTCCAATCCAACAAATAAATATCTAAAGCACCTAAACTAAGCAGGCTTTAGATTTGTACAAAGTTTAGTCTGCCACAAGGCCACAAAACACGTAGCCCAAAAGTTAAAAAGAGAGATTAATTAAATGGGGAACTAATTAAAAGCGAAAAGGGCTAAAAATATCTGAGGACCATTATATTCCACCGGCTTGAATCCACAGCATTAGCAAAGAAAGTATAAAATATACTTATATTATTTTCATAAACTTTTCATTGAACCGTGACTTCAGCTCCTTTACATTTTCATTCATGTTCCTGAAGTTTTCTACGGTCTAGCCTTAGTTAATTTGTTATGATTTTTTAAGTGTTTTTACTCCTGCAATGGGAAGGAGTGGTAGATTTGTTGACGAAATATCCTTAGGGACAGTGTTTTTAACACACGTCTGAAGCTTCAAGCTTCAAGGATTATTGTAACTCAGAATGTAAGGGAATCACAATAAATGTTGAAGCTTTGAGGTGTATTCGGGGAACTGTCCTTAAGAATATTCTGTCAATATATATGATTTGTTTCTTCTAATGGAGCTTGTTTAAGATTTTTTTGGTTCCAGTCTCTTTTCTGATTCAATGGTTCTAAGTGGAAAAAAGAGTAGTCTAGAAATAACTATTTCTAAAGCTCAATTATGACTATAAAAGTGAGGTGGATTGTCCATCTTCAAGTGTAAAAAGAAAATAATAACACTTACAAAGTTCCCAGGAGCTCTGTTTTAAAAGGCAGAATTGGGACTCGCCCGGGGCTCGCCCTGGGGCGGAGCACTCGTAAAACGGCCCTGGGCTTATGTGTGGGACTTAGTTCCGTGAGACTTACGCCTCGGCCGTCGGGGCTTACGCCCCGGACACGCCCAACGCCCAGCGTACTGGGCTCGCCTAATAGAACTTTATGCAATTGTGTGTAACTAATCTTGTAAATCGTCAAATTTTCTTAATAAATCATTGACTATTCAAAATTACTTTTTTCTTAATCATAAATCATTAAGTTGAGAGTATTTATGTCATAATTAAAATAAAAATTATTGCACGTTATCCGCTAAGATTGCTATGATAGTAAATTTTAAATAAATCTTTCATTTAAAAGTATTTATTTATTAACTTTGGTTGTGTCTTTGTTATATTAGTTTTTATAATTATTTTCCTAAATATTAGTATTTTCACGTTTACGAGATACAATACTTATTAATTTAATAGCTCAGCATTAACTAGTAACTATTTACAAATAATTAGTTATCATGATATAGTACAGTGAATTATGTTTCACTTTATTAACTTGTTGAAACTTAAAAATAAATAATGCTAGAGAATCATATTTAAATTGTGAATTATATTTTTATATAAATTCTCTTTCGAATAGAAAGCATATTAAATAAAGGGAGTATTTAAAAAAAAATTATAATATCGAAATTCTTTCAAGATTCATTACTCCTTTAGAAATACATATAAGATTTTGCATCGAATACATTACTTTTGATGTTTGAGTTGCAACGACGTTGCAGCTAATTTGCATATTATGATATATATCATACTTTTTGTATAAATCATAGTTGAATTATAATTTATAAATATTTTAAATAGATTATTTGTTATAATTTTGTGATTTTAATGTAATTTTTATAATTATTTTTTATTTTATACTATCTTAAAATTCTTGAAATTAGTAAAATTTAAAGATCCGTGGGACTTACGCCCCATGTCTCAGGGCTTACGTCTCGCCTCGCTAGAGGTAAAACGCCTCGCCTCACGCCCCCGCCTTTTAAAACATTGCCCAGGGGAAACATTTGACAGCTAAGCCATTTAACATTTCCTTCTTATTTGATATGATATATGTCCATTAGTGTTTCAGCCAACAATACTAGCTACTAGTATTATTGGTTTTTCATCACCTTATATTTTCTTTCCTTACTGGAGGAGTAGGAATGTGAACAATGCAGGGATTTAGGAAGGTTAATCCAGACCATTGGGAGTTTGCTAATGATGGTTTCTTGAGGGGGCAAAAGCATCTCTTGAAGAAAATTAGGAGGAGAAAGACAAGTAATAATAATTTCTATCCAGTTGGCAATTGCAATAAGGCTTCAAACCAAGGTATGGAGTACTCTTCATGTGTTGAGTTGGGGAGGTTTGGATTAGATGGAGAAATTGATCGATTGAGGCGCGACAAGCAGGTTCTAATGATGGAACTTGTTAATCTTAGACAGCAGCAGCAGGCTAATAAATCATACCTTAAATCAATGGAAGAAAAGCTTAAAGGGACAGAAATGAAGCAAGCAGCAGATGATGAGTTTCTTGGCCAAAGCAATACAGAATCCAAAGTTTGTACAGCAGATAATGCAGCAAAAGGATAAAAGGAAAGAACTTGAGGAAGAAATCAACAAGAAAAGAAGAAGGCCAATTGATCAAGGTCCTAGCATTATTGAAAATCTTAATATAAAGCAAGAACTTCAAGATTATGGTGATGTTTACGGATTTGATGATTTAGAACTGGAGGAAGATCAGATGACTATGTTGATCAGAAAGCACATACAGAAAGTGGAGATAAAGCAATTAATGAAGGATTTTGGGAGGACTTGTTGAATGAAAATATTGGTATAGAAGAAGAGGATGAAGAAGATATGGATGTTTCATCTGAATTCCTTGGCTGATTCTGAATTGTGTTAGGTCTTGGAATTATGTGGTTCAGTTACTTGAATACATCATTCATAACTGACTGTCCCATAAACTTTGCAATTCTTTTTTTTCATTCTTTGGAAGACAAGCAGAACCTCATCATTCACAGTTAATGCTACTAATATGAGAATGTGAAATAATTCATTGGTAATCCAACCAGATACTCAAATCCTGAACCCAATTAAGGGGGTGATTCACTGTAGAAGGAAAGAAAAGAAAAAGAAAAATCTATATCCAATCTACCTGTCAACAAAGCTCCTTGGAGAAGCCATCAAGTAGTTGTATATGTAGCTAAAGTTGTAAGGTGGAACACAGCTGCAACATCAACCATTACACAATTAAATAAAAAAGAATCTTAACAACAGGGCACAACCATAACTCAATAATTGGGTGAAACAAACAGAAGGAAAATGCATGGATAAAAAATTGAAAGACACTACATGTTGATATATGCGCTCTCATGATTCATTGACGAGGATTGGTTCTTGATAAAAGAAATTAAGGGAAATAACTGGGAAGATGACAAGAAAATAAAAGAATATACTGGAATAGATGTAAAAGGAACTGAAGCTGAAAATACTATATTATTTTACTGCATTTGGACAACAATTTATAAGAGAAATACTAACTTAAAAGACCTAAAAATCAGCACAAAATATGCTGAAAATAACTAACTCCTAGAGACTAGTTCACTCCTAAAGACTAGTTCAAAATTATTTCAAATTCAAACTAAATTACTGCAGTAAATAGCTGAAACAGTAAAATAATTTTACTGAGAGCAGCTTCTAAAGCATATTTCTAACACTCCTCCTTGCTTTTGAAGCTGCAAATTCTGAATTTGTCCCTTGTAAACCTTTAACTGGAAGCGACTTTGTACGTAAATCTGCCAACTGATCTTTGGACTTGCAGTGAATCGAGTTCACTTCTGTATTTTGCTGCATCTCATGATTGTTAATGAAATAAGTTGGCTCGTTTTTCAGCTTCATTTGCATCTTGCCTTGAGACTTGTCAACTTTCTCCCAGAATTGCATTTTCTGAAATATTGACAACTTCTTCCTTACCTTATTTTCACATATGTCCTCAGTTGGAGAATTACCTGCACTTAGTAGATTCTTTTGGCTCCATTCTTCATCTTCGGTTGGATCAAATGAGAAATTTTTACCTCTCATTTTAACCCTTAAAATCTCAAGTCCAGTTGCATCATAAATGAAACAATATTTATCTTCAAAGGATACTTTAAATCCTTTTTCCATTAGTTGTCCAACACTTAATAAATTTTGATCAATATCAGGAACATAAAGAACATCTGAAATTTTCTTAGTACCTGAATTTGTTGGGATTGCAACAGTTCCTTTTCCTTTAGCAAGAATATAATCACCATTTCCAATTCTGACTTTCTTATTTCCTATAGACGTGAACTCTTTGAAAAGATTTCTGTCATATGTCATGTGGTTTGTACAACCACTGTCAATCAACCAAAAATCAGATTTTTTGGTTGAAAGAATAGTTGCCACAAACAAGTGATCTTCTTCTTCTTCATTGGCGACTTGGGCATCTGCTTCATGCTTTTGATATTTGCCTTTGCAAATTACAGCTTCATGACCAAGTTGGTTGCAAATTTTGCACTTTGCATCTGGCCTCTTCCAACATTTGAATGGTGGATGACCTTTTTTGCCACAGTGCTGACAAGGCGGGTAATTTTTTTTAACATTATTACCCTTGCTTTGAGTTTTGTGGTTGGCTGCCAGGGCTCCTTCAACCATACCATCTTGCCTCATAAGCCTCCTTTGCTCTTGTGCCTGCAATGTATTTAACAATTCTGCCAAGGTAATCTTGGATAGATCCTTTGTATTTTCCAAGGTAGTTATGGATACTTCATATTTTCCAGGCACCGTAACAAGAATTTTGTCAACAATTCTTTGTCACGACCCAAACCGGATGGGCCGCGACGAGCACCCGGTGCCTTACTCAACCGAGTACCAACATAACATTATCTTTCTTATCATACTATCATGGTAAATGAGCTAGAAAACTCGTCATGAGATAACAAGAATGAAACATAGGGGAATACTCAACATCTGACGACCCACCATGATATGCAAACTTATACATGTGACATACGGGCCTATAAGGCCGACATGGCCATTTGTAAACTCAAAACATAAGCCGAAAAGGCCATACAAGTATCCATACACCTGACATCTGTCTACAAGCTCCTAAGAGTACCTAATATCATAAAGGTCGGGACAGGGCCCCGCCATACCAATCAATACATATCCAAAGCATACTGACCAAATAGGCAACTCTGGAGCAAGTGGAGTACACCAACACCTTCGCTGAGCTGATAGCCTACTAGGAGGAATGTCAACCTGTCTATCGAGACCTGCGGGCATGAAACGCAGTGTCCCCAGGCAAAAGGGACGTCAGTACGAATAAAGTACCGAGTATGTAAGGCAGGAAAGCATAAATAAGAACAGTAATGTAAAGAGAGATAGAGGAGATACAACCTGTAACATCTGAGTGCCTCTGGAGGCTACTGACATGAAATGCATTTACATATATATACATAAACTTTTAAAAACATACGCCCCTGTGGGCATCATCATCATCATATCATACCCGGCCTCAAAGAGGACTCGGTAAAAACGTACCCGTCCACGTGGAGCTCGGTAAACCCAACTGATCAGTGGTTGCACAATAGGTGCCATACCCGACCGACTATAGCGCGGCTCGGTAGACTAAAATAGATACATATATAATGAATGCTGGACTCATGGAGTCACGTTCTAAACCTTTTGGAGTGACATAAGGTCATTGCACCATCGATTAACATTATGGACATCATACCATCAATATGAACTTCACTAGGACTTAAGGGTCATATACACTTTCTTGGAATAACTTTGTAAGGAAAGAATAACATGGACAACCTTAGTTGCTAGGAGTAGATTCATTATGAAATAGCGTATCGTTTATGTTCGTTTCACTTTAGATCATGCCAAAAGAATGAAGGAAGAGCCTTAACATACCTTGTATATTCTTCCCAACCTCAAGCTATGCAATTTCACGGCTCCTTAGTCTACAATAAGAGAAATGACACTCTCGTTATCGTTTAAGCGTCGTAACTATTATGTATCAACCACAATCTATTTTACAATGAAATGGACAGCACCTCCCCTATATATATGACTTCACACTAGTCAAAACAATCACAAACAGCCCAACATACCCCTATCACTTCATACACAACACGACAACCATAATAGTGTCAAACAATCCGAAAATGTTACGATGAACGACCAACAAACAACCTTGCCATTATGTGGTGTTTCTCCACACCCTTCCTCCTCTCAACTCCATAAAAACAGTAGTAAAAGAGACAACCCAATACCAACACGAAACAGCCCAAAAACAGTCCCACAAGTTCATCAACTCAAACATAATTTTTCGGTTTACTTAAACACGTTTCGACTTGTCTTTTCTTTCAAATTGAGAAATACAACCAAAAGTACATCATTACACCTCTTATACAATAAACCAGCCATGAATTTAACTTAAAAATAAGTTCACAACCAGCCAACCATTGCACAAGATCAAACAACATACCATTCTTCCGAAACTAGCTAGGTCTATTCTTTACGATCGAGTTACAACTCGCAAACGCATAGATAATGGAAGGAGAAGCATAAACTTACCTTGTACTGAGTATCACCCACGAAACCTGGTCCTTTTTCATCAAAAATAAGTTCCTCAACACGGATACAAGAAGGAGAAAGAAAAACTAGCATGCTGTCCGGACTTTTCAGCACTAGAATCGCGTCGTAACACCCGGAATACCCTAGGGTTTGTGTGGGATTTGGGGGAGGAGTTGCAGGGGTTCAATTAGGTTTTCTTGGTCTGAAATACAGGTGAAATAACTCAGTTTGTATTCCCTTAAAAGACCCCTCTTGGCCGACTTTGGGGCTTTTAATTAAGTCCTCTCATTTTGGCAAGTAGGTGATGCACCTACTTGTCACCTACCAGTCTGCGTTGTCTCGCAAAAATATAAATATCTCTCTACTCCAATATCGTATCGACGAACGGTTTAATGCGTTGGAAACTAGACTCGTAGATCTTCAATTTGATATGTAGATCATCCCCTAATTCCAAGTATATTGGGAGAAAATCTCAGTTACATTTGACCTAATTTTCAGCACGTTTATGAATGGAACTTGTGATGACCTTTTTCCAACTTTTGTTCCACAACTCGCTTGACTTAAAAACATAACACATGACTATCATATGACTACAATAACTCATAACTTAACCTCCTCATCATGTTAATCACCCTAGTCTCTCCCCAAAAGAATATGTTATTACATTCCAAACTTGTCGATTTTCGACGAAACTTATTTTCTTCAATTCATTTAGCGACTAAGCTTTCCAACCCTTTTGGTACTTGTATTCATGATCTTAAATATTTGTAACCTCCAAGGTAACATGATTAACTTACTTTATTTGCTTCCAAATATAATCTCATATTCGAGCTTACATCAATGACTTACGACGTACTCTCACGTATGAAAACTTGGGGTGTAACATTCTTGAATCTTTAAATTTAGTACCAAGCAATCTTACCTTGTTAACAATGCCAAGCAACCGATCTGAGTATTCTTTGACAGTCTTAGATTCCTTCATTTTTTGCAACTCGAATTTCCTTATTAAATTCAACACCTTCGTGCCTCGTATTCTTTCATCTCCTGTATATTCTCCCTTCAGATAATCCCAGATTTCTTTTGCTGATTTTAGAGCCATAACTCTCGTGAAAATTGTTGCAGACACACCAGCAAACAAAGTTGTTTTCGCCTTTGATTTCCTGGTTTTCTTTTCCTTGTGACTCTTGATCTGGGCCACCGTGGGATTGTTAGGCAGCGGAAGAACATCATAATCCTCTTCCACGGCCTCCCAAAGATCTAAAGCCTCCAAGTAAGTCTCC